GTAAATAGTACAGTTGGGGTAGATGTGTTCATGTATATATTACAGTTGGGGTAGATATATTTTATGTAAATATTACAGTTGGGGTAGATATATTTTATGTAAATAGTACAGTTGGGCTAGATGTTTTTATGTAAATATTGCTGTAAGGGTAGATATTTTACTTAAATCACGATTAAATAAATTAACTTTTAACAATGTTTAGATAAAGATATTTTTTCTAAATTCTGAGAAAGTTTTTTTTCTCTCCTGTTCCAATGAAAGATTTGGCAAAGTTCTCAAAACCTGTTTTGAACTCTTCCTGGAAAAAACGTTTTTCATTTCAACTTCTTATTCAGGAATCAGAGAATCATAAAAAACCAGAGAACATAGAAACTTCTAATAAGTAAAATAACTTTCCAAAAAGTGCTAAAATTAAGTTCATAACACAAAACTATAGACAGAATGAAAAGTTTAAGTTTATGCTATATTACTGACATATTGACATCGCAGCTCCTTTAGTTTGGATTTTACACTCACCAGTATAAGAGCATTTTTCAGATTACATGTTTTTTCTTCTCTAGAGCTCTTCAACAATAGGAGATATGATTGTTAACATATCAGATTTCAATCTTACGTATAATTTACTTTAGTTTGACCAAGTTTATAATGCAAGGAAACTTAATTGCAGTTGCGTATACTCTGCGTACGTATTGAAACCAGTTATCTCTGGGCGGAATTTGTAAACAAGAATAGATGCTTCGACATCTGACTTGTGTTCAAATTTCCGCCCAGAGACAGTACACTGCAGTACAAAAGATGCGTACACCTCTGAAATAACTGTCCTTGCATTATAACCTGGAGTTTGACGAAATCTCAAATTTTTGGCATCTTAGGTACAGCAGTAATAATAATCAAAATGATATTTAAAACTACTGTTTGCTTATTTCTTATAATCCCTTCAAAATAGATGTATTGTTGGTGTGCTTCTAGAGTTATGGCAATATTCAGACTACGGTATTTATATTATTTTCTTTATAACGAAAGAAAATTGACGTTTGAAGCTTCTACCGTTCATGTACAAGGTTACCTATAATGACGACCTAACCCGATCTAAAGGTTAAATTTAATATTTTTTCTAAGATACTTTCGATGACATAATAAATTTTTTATTTCGTTTTTTTATAATCATTTAGAATTTTAAAACACCCCAAACAATCATCTAATTATTTCTTTGTACTATATGTAGGGAACATTTTAAGCGTTACTTTTTTACTTACTTCGTTTAGTTTCCGTCTAAGGTCGTAATTGATTTTTTAAATCGGAATCTGGTTTTAGCAGATTGAAATCGGTGTTTCATTGCCACAAAATTTTTCTTTTCCTTTATCTTTGCAACCTGATAGTGTAAACCTTTGATATTTTAAACGTAGATTAGTTTATCAGAACAGAATTCATAGTTTAAAATATATAAGGTCTTCGACATTGTGTTGCGAAGATATGGGGATTAAAGAACAGAATTTATGGCAAAGACTCAATTCCTTTGGTGGCTAGAAACTACCAGAACTTTGAAAATGACTCCTGTAAAAATATGTAAAGGTGAAATCAAGCTCTTTACAGATTTAAAATTCACATACCTTCAAAAAATATAATTGGCTTGGCAAGGTAAAATTAAGAGGGAAAGCCTGTGGACGGTTTTATGTCGCCCTTGTCCTAATAGTTCATGCATTATTATGGATTGTATGGAAGATATAGGGGTTTACGGGTATGATTTTAGGACGGGAAATGTTTGTTTATTAAGGTTGGGTGTTAAGGATGTACTGGAGAGAAGTAGAACGGTTCTCTCCGCTGTAGTTTACAAAGGACGGAGAACCCGGAGTCTGAAACCTTCTATCTCCGATCTAGAATAAATCCTCTCCACGTCCAACCAACCTATACTCGACTCTCTAAGACCGGATTCAACCTCGTGGTTTAAAACTCTCAGGAGAATAAAAATAGAAAAGGTTTAATTTCAAACCTTTTTCCAGGAAAATTGAATCCTCAAATCCGGTAAAATGGTTTCAAAACTAGTAGAACATCCTATAGTGCAGCAAATATTTGTCAAGAAAGAATTCTAGCATTTTTCTGAAGTTCTATATAGCGTTATCGTAACGGCTGGTCATACGCAAAGTAGGGTGTGTCATATGTAATCAAATTCTATCTACTTTTCATTTTGTGTATTTGTACTTGGCAAATACAATCGTTTAAAAATTTTAAAATATTTGTTGTATATGTAATATTTTTAGAAAAATATATCGGGGCGGAATTTCTCTATAGGATGTATTTGTGGCTTAAATCTTCCAATCCTCGTACATCATGACATCTTGTCTTTGAATCGTTTAGAAAAATAAACTATCGATTAACTTCGAACACATTTTGCTCTTGAATTGATTCTTTACCACAAACTTGAATTTTCTAATCACTAGATCATTGCAACCTGATGGTTTAAACTTTCGATATTTCAAACTTAAATTATTTGATTTAACAAAATTCATAGTTTGAAATATCAAATATTTTTGTAATATTTGAAAAATAATTTAAGATGAGTTTGACAAGAAAGCTAAGCACAATAAATAATCCCTTTCAGAAAATTTGAGTCTCTGGCGACAATGGGTTTCAAACACTAGACATAACAATTGTTTTAAAAAGAAGTTAAAACTGGAAATATGGTTACATATCTGTCCGTAATGCCTGTCCTTTGAGTGGTTGAATATTTCCCAGATTTGGGAAAGGGTTGAATTGAAAAAGGATAGAATTTAAGTATCGACTCATTATTTTACAGAAAGGAATTGAGTTTTTGCCACAAACTCTGATTTTCTAATCCATATAAATCTGCAAGCTTATGTCGGAGACCTTTGATATTTCAAAATATGAATTCTGTTGAGACGAATAGTCCAAATTTGAAATATCTAAGGTTTACACTATTAGGTTGCAAAGATTTAGGGATTGGGAAATTTGAGTTTGTTGCAAAACCTCAATTTCTTTTAAGGTAAAACTTAGACTAAATCATAAATCGTGCATTCTTTAATTTTAAAGTCCGGGAATTTATAAAAGGACAAAATACGTTCGTTTCAAAACTAAATTTAGATTTTTCAAATCCGATGATTTTAAATTAAAATCGGTTAATCTGATTGCACTTAGGTTTAATTCTGTCCACTTGAAGTTGTTAGCCAAAGCAATCCAACTTCAAATAAACCACTCTATCCACGTAGTAAATTTAAATTCGAACAGGACCTGCCCAGTTTGTACCGACCTGCCAGATAACAGCGTGTACTGACCCGATCCTGTGGTACAGTACGTCGCCCTAACCAGACTAACAGACGACGGGGGTCAATTTTCTTGACATAGTCCCGTGAGAGGGCTAACTATGACAACTCCCATGGCACGTTCAGACTTTTTATAGCACCCGGCCTAATCCTAGGCCTATTTGACCGACCCCACTGGCTTAGTCCACCGTGAAACTTTACAAAAGGATAGATTTGTTGGAAATTACTTTGAACTATTTTACAAAATATCATCACAATTCGTTTACCAAATATCATCACAATTCGTTTACCAAATCAAAGTTTTTTTTTAATAAATCAACTTCACTCACTCATTTTCAAGTGCAAAATTATAGAAATATAAAACAGCTGATTGTTCACAAAGGTTAATCAGAACACCAAAAAATATTTCTAAAAACAAAAAATAAAACAAGTAAAATTGTTAATACAGAAGCCTAGATTTCATATTATATAAATTAATAAAAACTATATTTATTTGAAATCCAAAAATTTTAACTTTGCCCATATTATCGATAGAATTCGAATTTATTATATTTCAACCATATTTGCAAAATTTTTGATTAAAAAGTTTTTATTGGCCAGGAAATAGTTTTTCTAGAATCGTACTTTTTATATCGTACTCATTCATTCGGTTAGAATCCTTTCAGTTTGCGAATCCAACTTTCTGACCTTTAGACTTAAAATTTGGTTTCTGATTGTTTATGATTATTAAATCAATTTTTTGGAAACTAAAAACCAAAAAGCTAAATTACGATGTTTAATATTTTCCTTTTCATATTCAATTCTTGTCAAATCATCCGTAAACTAGTATTTTTGAAAACAAAAAAGTTACCACCTATTTTCTTCAAATAAAAATGTATCGTTTTTTTTTACAAATAAATTTTTGATCAAATATTAAAATCTGAAATATCAAAGATTAACACAATCAGGTTGCAAAGAAATACGATTTAAAAAATTGAGAATTGAGTTCCTTGGCCCTGAATATAAAGTCAAGCATAAATATATTTTTAATGATTTTCTTGGTTTCAAGACAAAAATTAAACTTATGATTAAACTTCTTTCAAAATAAATCTTAAAATTCTGCAAACTTTAAATATTCAAAAGAACTCGCTTCAAACTTCAAATGTTTAATCCTTGTATCTTTCTAATGTCAAACTTCAAATGTCTAATCCTTGTATCTTTCTCATGTCAAACTTTAGTGTATCAAGTATATGTTTATGAATAAGATTCAATTCTATGAAAAATGAGTTCCAACATAAGTATGGTTTAACTGGTAACCATGCAGACTGTTCATAAGATTTCACTGGAATCTGTATAGGCAAGCCTATAGTTGTCCGGCACGTCATGTTACATTTCCACGAAAGGGTTTTCACTGCCATCTAACGGCTACTTGTTGCATTTAATACCTATTTAGGGGTTAAGTTTTACAATTTTTAACGAAATACCCTAACTTTAAACATAAAACATAAAATTTATGAATTTATTCTATTTTTGAAGGTTTTTTTTATTTTGTATCTAAAGGATCCTTAAATATCCCTGAATACAGATGTAGGTTTACTAGTTGTGTACTCCAGATGTACACAATGGAACCTGTTGTGGAAAAAATTGCATTTTCTATTATTTTATAGATCTCTGTACTCTCTTATCTCTGGGTATAACTTAGTCTTGAGCCTAATTTTCCAAGACTTATTTCTGATTAAAAAGTTTAATATATATAACTTTAATCTAGCCTAAAGTAGCTTTATCATGCATTAGAAGCAATAGCTGAAGTTACAAAGTAGCAGTAGCTAAAGAAACGAGTTATAGTAGCAGATACATTTTACAAAACTAATTCTGAATAGGAACAGCTGATTAATATATTGTTGAAGCTGATTATGATTATAGTATAGACGCTGAGAACTAGTAGTAGCAACTGATAGAGAGTTCAGCCTGTTGTTTACGGTTCTGAAGTTTGGATCCAATTATATACTGCATTTCAGGCAGAAAATATTCCCTAAAAAAGGAACAACATTTAAAGATTTCAAATAATTAAATAAAATCAAAACTGTCTCAATCTTAGCGAAATTAATCATGTCTCACTGTCTAGATGTCTGGACTAGGGGTATTTGGTAATTATTATTTTAAGAATTTTATCTCCAAACTAGGTTAACGATTTAATACTTAAAATTGTTTTTAAGATCTAAAAGGATTTTCAATTGTTCTCTCAACTGTGATGGTTTGTGGGACACACTGTAGGTTTGGTCGAGAGAAATATCAGGTTCTTGAGACTTTTTCTACACTAAACAGGGTTTAGAGATGGTGATATCAGCTAATCTACCTTATCTGGGTAGTGTTGGTAGATCTAGAGATGGTTGATTCCTTCCTTGAGATCGGGTTCCTGAACCTCACCCGGAGACAAGATAGAATGGAGATAAGATGTCTCCGTCCTTCTTCTCTAACCTTCCTGCTCCCAGCACAGTTGAACAGGAAGATAAACAGACCTGCAAAAAAAAACTTTAAATTTTTGAAAATATTTTAGTTCAAAAACTTACTTTTTCTATTCAAGTTTGCATTATCAAACTTTTCCCAAGATGTTTAGCTTTTCCAGCAAAATGTCATATATCATTTTAACGGCATTTTCTATCATTTCGCTGAATAGATTAATGATTTTAACTTTAGACATTACAAACTCTAAATAAGAATATTGATTAAACCATTATACTTCTACGTAGGTGTAGAGCACCATTCGTTGCTTTACCTTGAAACGTGTTAAGTACTGTGAAGACGACTGTTAAAATATGTGAAGGATGGATTACAGATATAATTCCTATACTCCAGGTTATACCCAGGATAGACATCAGGGCTAACAGACCATGGATATAGGACTGCAGAGATTTAGTTCTACTGGTTCTACTGAACACCTAGGAAAGGAGAGATTTAGCTCTAATGTTGCATTGAGAGAATGATGGATTTTAGTTTGCTGTAGGCATAGAAAGGATGGACTTAAGTCTACTGTACACTTAAAAAAGGATGGATTAAAGTCTACTGTACACTTAGAGAATGACGAATTTAAGTCTACATTACATATAGAGAAGGATAGATTTAAGTCTACTGTAACTTAGATAATGACGGATTTAAGTCTGCTGTATACATAGAGAATCACGGATTTAAGTCCACTGCACACTTAGAGAAGGACGGGTTTTAGTCTACTGTACACTAAGAGAAGGATTGATTTAAGTCTACTGACACGAAGTGAATGATGTATTTAAGTTTACTGTACACTTAGAGAATGACGGATTTAAGTCTACTTTACGCATAGAGAAGGATGGATTTAAGTCTACTGTAACTTAGAGAATGACGGATTTAAGTCTGCTGTATACATAGAGAATCACGGATTTAAGTCCACTGCACACTTAGAGAAGGACGGGTTTTAGTCTACTGTACACTAAGAGAAGGATTGATTTAAGTTTACTGACACGAAGTGAATGATGGATTTAAGTTTACTGTACACTAAGAGAATCATAGATTTAAGTCTACAGTACACATAGAGAATGGTGGATTAAAGTCTACTGTCCACTTAAAGTATGACGGATTTAAGTCAACTATACACTAAAAGAATGATGGGTTAAAGTCTACTGTACACTAAGAGAATGATGGATTTAAGACTACTGTACACAAATAGAATGACGGGTTTAAGTCTACTGTACACTAAGAGAATGACGGATTTAAGTCTACTGAACACTTAGAGAACGATGGATTTAAATCTACTGTACACTAAGAGACGGGTGGATTCTACTCTACACTTTGAGAATGGCGGGTTTAAGTCTACTGTACACTTAGAGAATGGTGGATTTAATGTTTCTGTACACATAGAGTATGATGAATTTAGGTCTACTGTCCATAATAAAAATGACGGATTTAATTCTACTGTACACTGAGAGAATTGCGGATTAAAGTCTACTGTACACTTAGATTATGACGGATTGAAGTCTACTGTACACATAGATAATGGCGGATTTAAGAAGTCTAGCTGTACACTGAGAGAATTGCGGATTAAAGTCTACTGTACACTTAGAGAATGACTGATTCAAGTCTACTGTACAGAAAGAGAATGACGGATTCAAGTCTACTGTACAGTAAGAGAATGACAGTCTACTGTACAGTAAGAGAATGACTGATTCAAGTCTACTGTACAGTAAGAGAATGACTGATTCAAGTCTACTGTACAGTAAGAGAATGAAGGATTCAAGTCTACTGTACAGTAAGAGAATGACTGATTTAAGTCTACTGTACACTAAGTGAATGACAAATTAAAGTCTACTGTACAGTAAGAGAATGACTGATTTAAGTCTACTGTACACTAAGAGAATGGCGGATTTAAGTCAACTGTACACTAAGTGAATGACAGATTAAAGTCTACTGTACAGTAAGAGAATGACTGATTTAAGTCTACTGTACACTAAGAGAATGGCGGATTCAAGTCTACTGTACACTAAGTGAATGACAGATTAAAGTCTACTGTACACTAAGTGAATGACAGATTTAAGTCTACTGTACACTAAGAGAATGGCGGATTTAAGTCTACACCTATTAAATGGGAGGTTTAGCTTTAAAGATAAAGATACATAAAAACTAGAAATATTGTTTTGTTTGTTCTATTCTAGGAAGTAAAAGAAATTGTTGGTAGTTATTATTAGGAAGCAATATTGAGATAATAATTTTGCAGTTCTTTCTTATTCATCAAATTTTCTTTTTTTGTAATTTTAATTTGCGAGAACTTAATATTTTACAAGTATTTTTCGACGTCTATATTTCACATATAATTAAATTAAAAAGAAGAATTTATTCCGACTGGGAAATGAAAATATTTAGTCAAGATCTATGTTTTCCATTCTTTGTTTTCAGAACTTTCAAGATTGTGTTTTATAACCTCCAAATTTAGAAATAATAAAAGTGTTTAAAAAAAGTAAGTAAATTATAAATAAAATTTGGCATTTTCATAAACTTTAAAACATGAATTTAAAGACAGTCTTATTGATTAGACCAACATTCGCAAAGGAATTGACTTGAGTCTTTGCTTCAAACTCGACTTTTCTAATCCCTATATAATTACACCAAAATGTCGTATAGACCTTACATATCTTAACTAAGTTTTAAATATCAAAGGTTTACACTGTCCGGTTGCAAAGATATTAGGATTAGAAAATTTCAGTTTGTGGCAAAGTCTTAATTCCTTTAAGGTTTTAAATATCATAGATTTTAACCTTATTTTCTCTTGATAAAATGTAAATCCCACCTTTATCTAAAACTGGCTCCAATCCCTTTAGTTTACCTGTGGACCTGCCCGACAGTGCTTGTACAGTATCCAGGCAGCTAGGCTGAGAAAATATAGGTTTAAAGAAACCACTACTCCGATAGGTACTGAACATACGAACAAACCATAAAAACTATATTTAAAGGGAAAATATCTAATAATGAAACCATTCATCTTTGAATTCAATTACACATATTTTCCCCCTTTTTTTGTAAAAATAGAGTTTTCCTTTTACAGAGTAACTTCTTAAACGATAAGTTGGTTTCTAGGTTTGCCTATAAATGAGATTAGAAGATGGGTTGGATCCGTTATCCAACAGTACTCCGTCCCTCCATAAACTGTATCCTGGTGCAGTAATGTATCCAGGAGTAGGGAGCTGAGTAGGATAAGGAGCGGAGTAATATATCCGAACAGATAATACTGAACCCGTCTAGAGCTCTCTTTCTCCCAAACCTGAACTAGGAGCTGATAGATCTGGAACCCTGCAACCAGCATCCACATGAAGGATGCCATAAACAGGTAGTGAAGACAAACAGCAACAGCGAAACATAAAGAATAGTTTCCTGTTTCTCCAATACCAAATAGGAACAGGAACTCAGCAAGAAGCAGGCACAAACATATATTAAAGTTAATCACAGATCTTTCATTTCTAGCACTACTGAACATCGAGTAAACGATCAGACAGATAAACAGACAAACAATACTCACACTACATCCAACCAGGGTAATTATATCCAAACCTTGTTTAATGTTAAGGTTTAATGCAACATCATGGATATCAACTAGTACTGCAAAGTTTGTAAGATGAAAGCACTGACAAGTTGTACCATTAACCCTCTCTGTGTTTTCCTTGATAAAACAACCCTCAGAGGACCAAACCTCTCTAGTAAAATCCCAGTAGACACAGTTTCTTTTCATATTCTCCATATTAGGATGGAGTATAGTAAACTCTAGGGGTACCTGGAGAGGAATACTTGATCCAACCTTCTCTACGTGGAGGACAGATACACTAAGGATTGACGTGGAAAAGTTCTTGTTTAGATTCATCATAGATCCTAGATTATTGATGGATGAAAAGGCAACAGTGATGGTTGAATCTAGTCCTGCTAAAGATATTTGATCAGGAAGATTTACTGTTAAAGATTTAGCCTTCCACATACTGCTACTCGTGCTATTTTTATCATCCAGCGAAGGGTTTATCATTTTTCTTTTCATAACCGTAAGGTTAATATCCGCAGTCTCTATATTCAGTGATTCTCCGACCTCCAAGGTTCCTGCAATAGACCTGGAGATAGTATCTGTGATGTTCAGGATACTGGAGGCGGTTTTAAGCGCGTCTGGAGTATCCAAGGTTTCATCCAGAGATATATGTTCCTCATTGTGAAAATTAAACACGTTTATAGACGATGAAATTGATCTGAAGAACTTAGAGACAGCGTGTTGAGCGATTGATTTTATTTCAGCTTTGGAGACATTGTTTCCAGAGCTTATAAGGATAAGGGAGTCAAGTTCGGATTGAAAACTAGAAATTTCAGATTTAATTTCTTCCTCTGTTTCCTTCATTATTCTAGATTCCAGGCTCTCATACCAACCTTCAGTAAGTTCAGCAGATTCAGTTGGAGTTTCAGAATTGAAGTTTTCTATCTGAAAGATTTTCTCTTTTATATTTCCTTGCTTCTGTCTCAGTAGATTGGTTGAAACTTCTTTTGGAACTTTTGAAATAAAATCATCTGCAGAACCTGAACCTTCCTCCCAGCCTTTGCCTGTTTTATTACTATCTTCATGTTCTCTTTGAATATTCAAAACTTCAACTTGACCTTCATCATCATCATCTTTTAATCTGTCTTTAACGTTATCTATTTCTTTGGTATCTTGAAGATCATAGATTTCTTCATCGGCATCTTTCATGTCTTCCTGTACAACAAGTCCTTTATTCTCATCGATATCACTCTCAAATAGTTTTGAACTATTAATGTTGCCATTTATACCTCCCACTGAGTTTTCATTTGTTGTTCGATATTTGTTTAGATTTAGAATATTTCGTGTTTGTGCATAGTTATGAATGAGATCAGAGGTGTCGGGTTTCTCTAAAACATCTCTGATATCATTCTGGAGTTGAGCATGTGTTCTAGTTTTTGATTTGTCTTTCACGTCATCTTCCCTCTGTTGCTGACCCATATACATGACAATGATATCAGAGTTAGAGATATCATGACTATTTTCAAACTTTTTCCAAGCTCTTCCTTCAATGATTTCAAACGGGTTGGTTTCTAACTCTGAGTTGATCATGGTTGTAGTATCTTCTGCTCTAACCTTGCTCAAGGTACTGATTGGTTCTGTACCTAGTCCTATTGTACTTATTGGAGTAGGTTTGACTGGAGCCATGGACAAAGTACTGATAAGTTTTGCTTCTGTATTACTCATAGAAGTAGTAGTTTCTAACCTTTCTTTGGACTCTTCTTCTCTATTACTTAGAGAAGAAGAAGTTTCTATTCTTAGTTTGCTCCAGGTTCTTATTTGGTCTTTTTCCATGTTTCTTAGAGTAGTTTCCTCTTTAACTGTTTCCAGATTACTAGATGGTTCAGCACTTGAAGAACTCAATGTAGGTGAAGCACCTGGTTTTGCTCTGCTGAAAGTGCTGGTTTGCGTTGAATTATTATCAATCAATATTTCTTTGGGGTTCTCTGAATGTTCATTGTGTATACCTCCACTAGATATTGTGACGTGAGAGAAGATTGCGTGTTTTCTTATTTTCCTCTTCCCTAAATCCTTATTTTTAGTCATTTCTTTGAAAATTTTGTCATTGTTTACATATGTTTGCATAAATATTTGTGCATTTTCATTTTTTTCGTGAGATGTTTTTAGAATTTTCTTTTTTTCTTGATATACTATAGTGTTAACATCTGTGGGGTTGGTTACACTGAATAAAGTTTCACTTTCAGTAAATATAGTTTCATTTTCACTTTTAATGGAATAGTCTTTAATTATATTTTTACCTTTACTTTTCGTTTCCATTTCAGTTGAATATGTTTCACTTTTCACTGATTTAGTTACACTTTCTGTTAACAAAGTTTCATTTTTAATAGAGTTAGTTTCATTTTCAATTGATTTAGTTTCATTTTTATTTGATTTAGTTTTATTTTCAGATAATTTAGTTTCCATTTCAGTTGATTTAGTTTCACTTTCGGTTGGTTTAGTTCCCTTTTCTGTTGATTTAATTTCACTTACGGTTGATTCAGTTTCACTTTCAGTTAATTTTTTTTCATTTTTAGTTAATCTAGTTTGACTTTTAGTTGATTTGGTATCACTCTTATAGGATTTAATTTCACTTATAGATGAATTAGTTTCACTTTTAGATGAATTAGTTTCACTTTCAAACGATTTCGTTTCATTTTTAGTTAATTTAGTTTCATATTCAGACGATTTAGTTTCACTTTCAGTTGATCTAGTTTCACTTTCAGTTGATTTAGTTTCACTTTCAGTTGATTTAGTTTCACTTTCAGATGATTTGGTTTCATGTTCAGTTGATTTAGTTTCACTTTCAGTTGATTTTGTTTCACTTTCAGTTGATTTAGCTTCGACACTTTCAGTTGATTTAGCTTCATTTTCAGTTGATTTGGTTTCATTTTCAGTTGATATAGTTTCATTTAAAAAAAATGTAAATTCACTTATGGTTGGTGTACTTTCATCTTTAGTAGAATCAGTTTTATCCTCAGTTGATGCATTTTCATTTTCATATGATTTACTTACTTTTATATATAATGGAATTCTACTTTCATTAATTGAAGTTAGGATTTCAGTAAATGCAGTTTCGTTTTCATACAGAGTATTTTCACTTTTCTTAGATGTGTTTTCATTCTTATAAGATGTAGTCTCACTTTTGGTTTTTTCACTTTCACTTGGTGAATTTTCATGTTCAGCAAATGTAATGCCACTTTCAGCAGATGTAATGCCACTTCCAACAGATGTAATGCCACTTTCAGCAGATGTAATGCCACTTTCAGCAGATTTAATGCCACTTTCAGCAGATTTAATGCCACTTTCAGCAGATGTAAAGCTACTTTCAGTAAATGTGATGCCACTTTCAGCAAATGTAATGCTACTTTCAGCAGATTTAATGCCACTTTTAACTTCAGCAGATAAAATGCCACTTTCAGTAGATTTAATTTCAATTTCAGAAAATGTAAGGTCACTTTTAGCAGATGTATTTTCATTTTCAATAGATGTAATTTCACTTTCAGTAGATAGAATGCCACTTTTAGCAGATGTAATGTTACTTTCAGAAGATGTACTGTCACTTTCAGAAGATGTAATGCCATTTTCAGTAGATTTAATTTTACTTTCAGAAAATGTAATGTCATTTCGAGTGGATGTAATTTCACTTTCATTTTCTCCGGCAAATATAGATTCGATAGATATATTTTCACTTTTCGTAGATAAGATTTTACTTAAATTTAATACAATTTCACTTTCAGTGGTATAATCAATCGTAGTTGATATGTATTCAATTTCACTTTCCGTAGATGTAGTTTCCAATGTATGATCACTTTTAGTAAATGTAGTTTCTACTTCCGTAGATGTAGTTTCCAGTTCAGTTAATGTATGATCACTTTTAGCAAATGTAGTTTCTTCATCTGTAGATGTAGTTTGAACCTTGTTAGATAAAATCATATCGGGGTCTACAGTTCCCTGATTTATTTCATCTGTATCTGTAGTTATAACATGTTTTGAACTTTTCTCTTCAAATAATTTGTTCTCAACATTCAGTTTTTCATGATTTACATCCAATGTCCACTGTTCTTTAGGATACGTGTTCTGGTTCAATAAAGTTTTACCTTGTGTAATACATGAATACATGATCTCCCAGATTCCGATAAAACCAGTTTTTAAATCCGGACAGATCTTGTACGGCTCTAGATTTAATCTCTCCAGGGTGGGATTCTTACACCTAGACCTAGAGCATAGACCAAGAACAAGACGAGTTAGATCGGTTGAGCAGAGTTCCTCCTGCCAGGTTGGATTGATTGATTGAAACTTAAAGATGGCGAACTGGAGAGATATGTCCTTCCCCGTACAAACTAAATCCTCATATCCAGTTATATCATACCTAGATTGCAATTATCATTAGAAAAAAGAAAATATCAATATTTTAATACATTAGTAGAAGTTAGAGGCTCTTTTCACTTTTCACTTTTTAACCTTGCATTAATTGTCAAATTGTCCTGAGGCCGAATTTAAAGAATTTGAGCCGCGGCTCAAATATGGTTGGTTTCACTTAAAATCTTATTTATTGCTTCAAGATTTAAGCCGGCGCTCAATTAAAACCGGTTTTCGGCGGATTTAAGACGCGGCTCAAATTCATTAAATTCGGACACTGGTTTCTTTAATTTTGCAATTAAGTTAGGTTAATATTATACAAATAAGCAGACTTAACATCGAAAGAATAACTAAAAAGTCAAGAGATGCATGGTGTGAAGAATAAAGCTACATATATTTCAGTAGGACCTATAAATCTGCAAGATAGAAAGACAAAAGATAACCCATTTTAAAGTGTATTTAAGATTGTAAAGCAAATGGTTTTATTGTAGCTTAAAATCGTCCTACTAAGTTTAATTGGGTCTGTGTACACTACACAACAGTTCATATTTCATATTTTTATTCAACTACAAAGCACGAGATAATACAAATAAAAAATCACAATTTACTATGTAGTTTGGACCCGCCTAACCAGAGTAGGTTGTTTTAATTGGTTGGCCCACTATAAACGAATGATAATTGCAGATAAAAACAATGTACATTGTACATTTTAAACATAAGAATGATAATAAATCAGGTAAAAGGTAAGGAGGAGGTGAGGGAGTATAAAGAAAAGGGAGGATACTCAGCGTAAGGGTTGGAACAGAGGGTAACATAAGTTATTAGAATCATGTTTATGAACTACAGGGTGAAGAAGATAGTAAAGACTAAGTTTATCCACATGATACACAGTTTTTTTTTTACAGATATAATTTGCATAACTATCTAAATAGATCTTGGCGACTTTTCTTTTAAACGATTTTGCAGATTTAGTTTCTTTAAGCTCTAATTCAATAGAATTCCATATTTTTGGAAATAAGGCAGAGGGAAAACTTTCTAGGGTTTTAAAGAGAACTCGCTCAAGTTTATATGATTTTGTTCTATTTGGTTCAGCTAAAGAATTAAACATATCCTGGAAGGAAGCTGGAAGGTTTTCATAAAAGTATTTATGCATAAAAGATAGAACACCTAGTTTATATGTATCATCAAGATTTAGGAGTTCTAATCTGAAAAATATTGGATCTGAATGTGCCTTAAATGAACTATTATTTACTGCTCTAATTGCCCTTTTTTGCAAAGACTTGATTTTCTGTAGTTTAGCATTTTTTACACCCCCCCATGTTATAATTCCATACTCAATATGTTGGCTTCTTATTCTACATCTTTATTGGTCCCGCCGTATTATTTCCCATAATATACCTTGTAGTTGAGTATGTATGAAGATGTTCTAAGGATGAGATGGATTCCGGGTGGTTTTCATTTTCCTCTCCGTATTCGTCATACTCACCATAATCGTCATATTCGCCGAATTTGCCATATTTACCGTACTCGTCATATTCGTCAACCATTCTTTCCCAGTCATTCTCAATGGGTTCAGTCTTGATATCCAAGTTATCTTTAGTTATCTTTTTACTATTTGTTCTTATCCTTAAATTTTCCTCTCTTTTTTTATTTTTTTCTCCTTCATTGTTTTGTTTATTATCCGCATTGTTATAAAACATTTCAGGTATTTTATAATCATTTCTATTCTCGGAGCTATCAGAGTAAAGGTTGTAAACATCATCCTGAAAAAATTGCTCCATTAGCAGTTCATCGTCTGGGCAGGAGTAGCAGAGAATCCAAAAATGTCCACAGTGCATTGGTCGAGACTCGATCTCAGAAATGTTGATTTTTGGATAGGAACAAACCTACAATAAAAAAAGTTAAAAGTTTTTTCTCCAAAATTGATTGAGCTCTTCTTTTACTTACCCCTTGTGGATTGCATGATCCAACATCTTCGTATTGGAGATTTATGAGACAGTCGTCTTCCGTCTGTAACAATTCATCACAACGCGGCATCTGTTCCTTACCAGAGAAGCCAAACCAAACCGTATGTACTCTTGGCTCACCTATGGCGCAGGATATCTTTCCCTTGTCACCTTTGACACCATGGACGTCGTATTGTCGAGAACTAAGGGCAATGTTGAACCATAGAATCTGCAGAGCACTGACTATTCAGACAAAAATACAACATGGTTTTAATTCAAGTAGGTTTACTTTACTTACTCGTATTCGTGTAGACCATTTATAATATAAATTATCATTTTTCATTACTTTTTATGATTTTTATGATTATGATTTTTTGTTCTTTTCATTAAAATAAATTTTGTTTTAATTCGGGTTATTTTAATCCAACTAATCATATTCGTATTGCGATGCAAAAATGACAGCTCATTTATCCAGCTGATTAATTAAACTTATTTTCTAGAGTTGGATACTAATGATAAATACAAATTAATGAAAAAAGTGTGTGATCTGTTGATAATGTGTCAGCCTACTCAGACTAATGAGTTTCATCGTTCATCTCCTTAACTCAACCTAAAATGTAAATGTAAACCTCTAAAGTCTAACTTCTGTTTTTTGGAAAAAAACGTAAAAATAAAAAAGATTTCATTGTTTAAAAAAGTTTCTGATATGAGAAGAATTGAGCCTTTACCAATAATTCTTATTCTATAATCCCTACAGCTTTGCAACCCAATGTCGTAGACCTTTGATATTTCAAACTATGAATTCTGTTAGATCAAATGATCTTAGTTTAAAATATTAAAGGTTTACACCATCAGGTTGCAAAGATATAAGGGTTTAGAAAATTTGACTCAGATATCCTGTAAAGCATGTAATCACTTAAATAAGTTACTGAGTATAAAATTTGCAAACTGATAATTCATGATTCTTTACCTATTTTGTCGTTAAAGCTTTGAGATAATCCAATATATGATGTTGGACACTTTATATTTTCATTTTTATCCTGGTTCTTTTTATTTTCTGGTTTAGGCTCTACAGTATTCTGTTCATGAAAGTTTGGAACCAATATTGTGTTTGTAAAAATCTTATTAAATCCCATCCTTTCAGATTGTCAATCCTTCATCCCCCTTCAACCGTTCTATTTTTACTCTAGGATCATTTAATCCCACCCAACCCCCCTGTCACCCCCATTCTNAGAATATAGCAAAACAGACATAGTTTTATCTATGATTGATTAGATTGATTAGAATATAGCAATGTTGACATAGTTTTATCTATGATTAATTAGAATATAGCAAAACAGACATAGTTTTATCTATGATTGATTAGATTGATTAGAATATAGCAATGTTGACATAGTTTTATCTATGATTAATTAGAATATAGCAAAACAGACATAGTTTTATCTATGATTAATTAGAATATGGCAAAACAGACATAGTTTTATCTATGATTAATTAAAATATAGCAAAAAACACATAGTTTTAACTCAGTTTGATTACAACTTAGTAGAACTCACATATACAGGTTATCAAAGATTGAGTAGAATTTAGAAAATGATATATAGCCTCTATAAGTTCTATCTAAGATTAAATAAAATATAGCAAAAGAGATAAAGCTTCTATAAGTTCTATCTAAGATTAAATAAAATATAGCAAAAAAGATAAAGCATCTATCAGTTCAATCTAAGATTGAATAAAATATAGTAAAAGAGATAAAGCTTCCATAAGTTCTATCTAAGATTAAATAAAATATAGTAAAAGAGATAAAGCATCTATAAGTTCCATCTAAGATTGAATGAAATCTAGTAAAAGAGATAAGCTTCTATAAGTTCTATCTAAGATTAAATAAAATATAGAAGAAAAGATGTAGAGGAGATAAGGCTTCTATAAGTTCTATCTAAGATTAAATAAAATATAGCAAAAGAGATAAAGCTTCTATAAGTTCTATCCAAGATTAAATAAAATATAATAAAAGAGATAAAGCTTCTATAAGTTCTAACTAAGATTAAATAAAATATAGTAAAAGAGATAAAGCTTCTATAAGTTCTATCTAAGATTAAATAGAATATAGTAAAAGAGATAAAGCTTCTATAAGTTTTATCTAAGATTAAATAAAATATAGCAAAAGAGATAAAGCATCTATACGTTCTATCTAAGATTAAAAAGAATATAGCAAAAGATATATAGCCTCTATAAGTTCTATCTAAGATTAAATAAGATAAAGGAAAATATATAAATCTTCTATAAGTTCTATCTAAGAATAAATAAGATAAAGGAAAATATATAAATCTTCTATAAGTTCTATCTAAGATTAAATAAGATAAAGGAAAATGATATATAGCTTCTATAAGTTCTATCTAAGATTAAATAAGATAAAGGAAAATGATAAATAGCTTCTATAAGTTCTATCTAAGATTAAAAAAAATATAGAGAAAGATATAAAGCCTCTATAAGTTCTATCTAAGATTAAATAGATAAAGGAAAAGATATATAGCTCCTATAAGTTCTATCTAAGATTAAATAAGATATGGCAAAAGAGATAAAGCTTCTATAAGTTCAATCTTAAAAGTAAATAAGATAAAGGAAAATATATAAAGCTTCTATAAGTTCTATATAAGATTGTATTGTTTTATGTTTGCGGACATATCTAAATATAATTCATTTGTCTAGAAATATCAAACTATATTTTACCCAAGGCCCAGAAAACCAATGTCCAGGATCTTTATGAAGAAATATGAAGACAAATGACACTTCTTGATGAATATATTTAGTAAGTGTCAGACTCAGATAAAGTCAATTTATCACTTTTTTTATAAAGTGAATTCAGTGTTTTTTCATATTTAAGTACATCTTAATTTGTTTTATGAAACTTAAAGGGAGTGTTCGCGAAAAATGAAAGGGGGTATAGGCATACGGCGAAAAATATGCGCTTTTAATCTCTACTAATCTTACTTCTATGTGTTGCGTCTATAAGGAGAAAATTGTCTAAAACGACTCATACCGAATAACGTAGCAACCACCCAAATTGAGATAATTGCAATCCATGAGTTGGATTGTAAAAAAATCAATTTATTATCAAACAAATGATTTAGATATTAGAACCTTTAGTCATTGATTATTTTTTGATGCATTTGCATATAGTTAATATTTTATAATATTTTGTATATGTTTTATATACAATTTACACTTAAAACGCCGATTAGTTTGTCCGTCAGGTGTCTCTGCTCTCAATGCTCTTAATGATTCCACGTGGCAGAGACACCTAGCGGAAAAAAATCGTTGTTTTAAGTGTGCATTGTATATAAAAGAAGTAAAAAATATTATGAAAAATTAACTACATACAAATGTGACGAAAAAATAATCGATGACCATAGGTTGTAATATCTAAATGATTTGTTTGAAATTAAATTGATTTTTTACGATCCGAGTCGTATATTGCAACGTTCTCAATTTGGATGGATGCCATGTTATTCAGCATAAGCCGTTTTTAGATTAGTAGCGATCAAAAGCGCTTATTCTTCATCGTAAGCATATACCCCCTTTCATTTTTCGCGAACACTCCCTTTAAAGGGGCTGCAAGACGTAATCTCACGTGAACCCCAACATATAAAGAGCCATGTCCAATACTCAACGGTACATGTCTAATTAAAGATGAATGTACTGTCCTTGTTTATTTTTCTGGCTTAAAATTGATTATTTTCTTTGATTTTTTTAATTCACACAACTGTAAAAAAGGAATGAATTGGAAATGCCATGCTCTTAAAATGGAGATTTACTTGAAATTAATTCGATAGATTCTTCCAGCAATAAATAATTTTCATCAAATATTTTTTAAAATATAATAATAATAACTTATTACAAGTGAGAATGTGTACCGACCAAATCGAATGCAATATCTCGGTACTAAATGTTTCCTGAAAATATTATTCCAATAAAAGTTTTATAATTTACCCTTCTGCGCCCGGCCTACCAATATAAAACATTGTTCACAATTCACTGTAAAAATATGCGAGAAGAATATTAATTTAGTTTGTTCTGAGTTTTAAATTAAACTTGTCTATTTTAGCATTTCACAAACTTTACACATTTCCGGCTCCTTTATCCAAACAGAGAGTATACTTTTGTAGACAATACTTCTAGAGTATATAGTCTTTCTTAGCTAAACAATTTAGAGGATGTAAATATTAAATTTACCCCCTTGTATATCTTGCTGGAGGGGAGGGTGGAGAAAGACTGCATGGATTGGTTTGTTTAGGCCTAGAAACAAGGCCTGTGTATATTTATGTAGATAAATATAATAAACACATGTGCCTTGAGTTCTCTATACATTTGGATTATTATTGAATTACTATTATTATTGGGAGTTTTTATAATGACAGATTCATTCAACATTGGAGAGACAAATTTTTATTTTTATGTTTTTAACTTAATTTTTTTACCCACGCAGATAGTAATACTTCATGTGATAGGGAGTAATTTTCAAAAGTTTTAAAATTGAATTCTTCGAAATATTTGAATTTAAACTTTGTAAAACCAATTTGAGAAAAGACGGATTTCCCACTGATTAGAATTTAGGAATATAAATCATTCTCTTGAGGATTAGAGCCTTAAAAACTTAGTTAATGCAGGGTAGAAGGGTTTGGTATGGGGGGGGGGCAACATTTTTAACACCAGAAAATTAAGATACTTTGAAATACTACTATATGAGGGAAGTGAATAAATACTGAAGTGGAACAGATAGAATAAAGACGACTAGTTGGCCCATACGGAATTATTCTAAAATACTTGGGAAGTTGGGACATAAAATGTCGACATCTAATTATGAGTTTTGCCCACTTTAGTATTTATCCAATCGTGTTCTTTTTCTAGTTTAAAGCTTATATTTTTGTTGCTGAGCAAAATAAATAAAATAAAAATTGCTTTATTGCCGCAAACTCTGATTTCTTTATCTCTATATCTTTGTAACAAAATGTCGTAGACCTTAGATATTTCAAACTATGAATTCTTATAGATCAACTAATCTAAGTTTGAAATATCAAAGGTTTGCAGAATCAGGTTGCAAAGATATTGGGATCCAAAGATTTGAGTTTGTGACAAAAAACTCAATTCCTTTGTCTCCAGAAATGATTGATTTTTATAAAATTTTGAAAATTCACGAAAAATTTAATTAAATCCGCGAATTTTTTTTTGTTATTTTATGTTGTTACAAAGAGTAGATGCCATAATTAAAAGTAGACGGGCGCGAAGCGCGCTAAAAGCCTTGGTTGGATAGATGGGCATAGACTATAGAAGAAAGATATACAGAATACATTTATCCTAAAAAGGTTTTGGCAGTATCAATCATAATAAAGAACGACATTTAATCGTCCTGAGATGGAATTTAAAGAATTTGAGCCGTGGTTTAAATCCGCCAAAACCCGGTTTAAATTAAGCGCCGGCTTAAATCTTGAAACATTTGATACAATTTTATGTGGAACCAACCATATTTAAACCGCGGCTTAAATTTAAACCGCCGCCCAAATTCTTTAAATTCGGCCACCGTAATGTTACTTTACTGACTCCATGAATAAATGTGTATTCTGATTCTTTTCTCATCTATTTTTATCATTTTTATATTTTTTTCAAATGTTCAGTAAAAGAAGTTGATTGATAATTAAAAAGATTTTTGATCCGAGACCCACTGATTTAACAGTTAAGTACTTGTTCCTGCAAGTTTCGATCACAATTTGACCTAGGCGTAATTATTTCGCTGTACTTTATACTTGCTTTTACAACGGTTCAGGGGTCAATGTTGCCAAGGGGGGGACCAAAAAAATTTTTTTGCGCGCTTACGAGCGAATATTGTGCCCCCCCTAAACAAAAGCCCTCGTACGCCCCTGCAGTACGGTTGCGTTTAAAATTAAAAAGTATGAATAGACTACTGAGAACGATCTTGCCCCTGGTTAGTCCAGTGTTAGGAGGTTGTATGAAAGCATCATGTTGTTTAATGGATGCAAATTTTCTACAAATTGTAGAAGGCAAAGTTTTAACTTGATGCAAACACTACCAGAGGCGGCTCAGAGGGGGAGGGGGGACGACACGTCGCCCCTCCGGGCAAATTGGGAGGAACGTCACCTTAATCAGTCAAAATGTCAGTAAAATTATATTTTTAAAAAATTTATCGGGGGGAACACATTTTCTCCTTCCCATCCCCAGGGGTGCAGTGTCAAGGTTTAGGCATAAAAATTTTCTTACTTTATATCATTTATTGTATAGAAAAACCTTCTAAATATTCAATAATGCTTTAGAGATGAACTTTTGAATATTCATTTCACGCGAATACAGATCCGAGAGTTTTTGTTATAAATTACAACGGGAGAGTGGGACTAATTTTGGCACAAGCGACAGTGTTTAATATGAACTGTGCATACATAATATTCATGTACATTGTAGTGTACAGGGAGTCCCAGTATATAATATATACATATATTCATCAACATAAGAACATAAAATTTATGTACAGGGAGTCCCAGTATATTATATATACATATATTCATCAACATAAGAACATAATATGTATGTACAGGGAGTCCCAGTATATAATATATGCATATATACATCAACATAAGAACATAATATTATGTACAGGGAGTCCCAGTATATAATATATGCATATATTCATCAACATAAGAACATAATATTTTGGGAGTCCCAGTATATCATATATACATATATTCATCAACATAAGAACATAATATTTATGTACAGGGAGTCCCAGTTACATATATTCATCAACATAAGAACATAATATTTATGTACAGGGAGTCCCAGTTCCCAGTATATAATATATACATATATTCATCAACATAAGAACATAATATTTATGTACAGGGAGTCCCAGTATATAATATATACATATATACATCAACATAAGAACATAATTGTATGACCAGTTATAGTCTCAAAATGGCGAAAATACAGGAATTTGCTGTAAAAAATATTATTTGTTCTATTTGGAAGTATATGAACTATTTTTAGAAATTTGTCAATATTAAAAAGATTTTATAACAAAAATAAGAGTATAACAACAAAAATGCATATTTATTTTCTCGCAAAATTGCTATACACTCTGATATAAAGATTTAAAACAAATAAAGATAAAATGTATTTGGTATTTTAGAAAAAATTGTTTCCTCTTCAAATCTTTCATGATTTTGACTTGAAATGGGGCACCTATGCACGCGAGGGGGGGGGGCAAGGTTATAATGCAAGGAAAGTTATTTCAGAGGTGTACGCATCTTTTGTACTGCAGTGTACTGTCTCTGGGCGGTAATATAAACACAGAACGGATGTCGAAGCCTGACATCGAATCCATCTTTCACATAAAAATCAATGAAATATTCTGGTCATAGGAAACTATTATGTGAATTATCAAAATTATCAAAATTTAATGCTTTTAACTTCCTCGGATACTAAACGAACACTGATGCATCTGTTCTTGTTTACAAATTCCGCCCAGAGAGAACTGGTTTCAATATGTACGCAGAGTATACGCAACGGTAATTAACTTTTCTAGCATTAGTATTTTGAGGGATCAGGCTTTAAAATTCTAAAAAGAAACAGATTCTTGATTTTAGGATCTTTAAGTTCGTTCTCAACGAAATCTCTCCCCATTGTATGATTAAGTCTGAATTAAAAAAAATTATTTTTCTCGGGATTCACTTTGTATAAAAGGAGGGCCGTATAGAGACGTTACATGGTACAATATTTTCTTCACTCTCCACTAAATCCCACTATTTCTTCGGCCACAGTCCTGCAGATTACCAGTACACACCGAAAGCTTATTTGAGGGTGACTTACTCTTAATTATGTGGACTTCTATTTCCCTGAAAGAGTAGTTTTATTAAAGTTTCATTCTTTATGAGTCCCTCTGTAAGTCTCCCTCTGTGCAGCCCTATGCACACGAATCAACGCTCTACAACCCTGGCAAATATAGGAAACCATAAAAGCAATGTAATTACATTATTTGCGGTACATGCAAGGTTACAAGGATATAGGAACTGCAAAAATTCTCAACAGTCAAGAGTAAAATTGAGCCTAGCATAGAAACCTTGCAACTTCAAATTTGTAAAAGTTGGAAATTTAAAGAAAAATTCACAAAAAATGACAAGACGTAAAAAACTAACCAAAGAGAAAATCTTAAAATTAAAAGTAAAAATAGAAAACAATGAAAGAAAAAAATTTGATATATATATAATTACAAAGATGATTAAAGAAATAAATTATAATTGGAATTGAGTCTTTGCAAATATCTTTGCAACTTAATGATATACCTGATATATTTCAAACTATGAATTCTGTGATATGAAATAATTTAGGTTTGAAATATGTTTGAAATGAAGAGTATACCTAGAAATTGAGAGTAAACCTAGAAATTGAGAGAAAATCTAAAAATAATCAATGAAAAACTCATTTAAATATAAGAGATGTTATGAAATGTTGGTAAAAATGGCTCTCATTGTATTAAATAGAAGAAGAGAAATAAAAAGAATCTGCAGCTGCTTCCAAAACTGCATTCTTAGAGTGCATTAAATGCATTCTTAGTGTTGTATCAACGGTCAAGATTTTAGGTTTCCTCTGGGTGTTACTTCATAAAGAGTTTCTGGTAAACCATAACCTTGATCATCCTGAGGATTTGTAAATAGATAATTATTAATCATCTATACCCTCCCTCAAGTATACTATATCCGTATCCACTCTCTTATCCGGTTACCTCGTACATTACTGCACCGACTAATTACTGAGTTTGAAGATAGATCGCCGTGTGCCGGGTTCCATGCAACCAGCAATATTAGAATACCTCGCCATACCTTCCCACATTTCTCCCGCGCGCCGTGCGCGCCTGTAAGGCCTAGCGCTCTCCCTAGTTTTACCTCAGCTGTCGGAACAAGCACTGCGCTCCGGAAGTACAAACCTGGAATTTCTAAAATTTATTCGGTTGAATCCCGGCTCCGACTAGTTATAGATCCGCACCAGTGATCAGTGGAATAAGATACCTGGAGATATAAGATCTTGGAACAAATTCTATCCAGGGTTCACACTTCAGATCATTTTAACAATAGTTAAGTTTCAGTTTAATTATACGGAAAAGGAAGTATGAGAGGAAGTGAGAAGAACTCGTCTGCCGGAGGCCTTTCTCCGGGTATAAGTATAACAGGTGGTTCAAGCTCCAACTAAATCACTCTCTCTCTCCAGTGTACATTCTGAGCTGTATTCAATGCATATGCATTTATATAGATTCAACCTCTAGCTCATAGATTGAATATAGTATGGAGAAACCGGGTAGAAGGGCCCCGGGGGGGCATAAACTTAGTTCAGGATCCGCAGGGGGGCAAAATAAACCTATTGGAACCAACACATTAGAAAAGAAAAATAAAGATTTAAACAAAGCAACGAAAGAACTAGAAGCAAAAGTGAAAAATTTACAGCAAAAAACTCGGACATTACCAAAAGTTGAAAGTTCACGGAGTAAACTGCGAGAGCTGCCCTTGCCTCCCCCCAGCAAGGAGGAGGGGAGGAAGGGTAGCACCGTCACCTCCAGGATCAGGGAGAGGGAGGCGGACTTCCAGAAGCAGGTGGTGGAGAGGGATGATCAGATCTCCAGGCTTAAAGAACGTCTTAAGATCCTGAGCACTAAGGAATGTCTCCATTCATCCACGACATAAATACATCAAATATTTTATACCAAAAAGCATGAAACTTCTGTAAGTACTTAATTCTTGAACCAGGTAAGAAAATGTATTGCAAAACCCCAATAATCATTATTTAATATCCCTAGTTATTAGATTTCCAAAATATTTTTAGTTTTTGTGAATTGTACCTTAACAGATAACGAAGATATCTGACATTTTTCCCCCATTTTAATCTACAGTAAGAACCAGAAAATTGTAGATTTTTATGAACACATTAAAGCAATACATTTTAAATCAGGCCACACTTTAGAAGTCTCATCTTCGAACAAATATTGAAAAATTGTAATTTAGTTTAGTTACTTAATTCAGACTTACTGTATTATAAATAGTAAATATCTGGGCTAAACAAACATATTTTATTTACTTAATATTCGGATTGTCAAACCTTATTTTTCAAAAAAATTATATTTCTTTCTCTTGCCCATTTTGTATTTGTGTTCTGAGCGTGAGAATGGAGTTATTCTAGTTGTCTGAGACAAAGGAGAAAGAAGGACGGGTTGGCAGAGGAAGAGTAGGAGGAGGTGGAGGAGGAGGTGGAGGAGGGGGAGGTGGAGAGAACGAAAGAATTGTTCAGATTCAGAATTCTGTTGAACAAGGAACCGAACTACAAAATATTATTCGACAGGTATTTTGCTCATCTTTTTGGTTGTGACTTAAAGGAACTTAAAGGAACTTAACGACGTCAAGTTTCAATGTCAAGTTCCCCCTCGATTTAAGGAGTTGCATGTCCGATACATAACAGTACCCTAAAAACCTCTGTCTTGTCAAGGATGCGTTATCTAAATCTAATTCATGTTAAAGATAAAAATCGACGATATCATCAACATTAATGATCAGATAAAGGTTTCAAGGGTATTGTCTTGAATCGGACTTGTCCCTCTTGAACTAGAGGGTCACTTGAAATTTCAAAGAAACTGTCCCTTTAAGAGATGTAACGTAGAATTATCCCTTATAGATATAATATTAATTTTTAATATATAAACAATCATGATTCAAGGGGACAGAACAATGAGATTCAACCGGATAAAAAATTAATAAATTTTGCATAAACACTACAGGGTATACACACCGTATAGAGTTAAAAGATTTCCATAATGTTCTACGAGTTACCTAGAGAACCTCGGCACGCAATCCAAACCACGATTTCTCCCTGAAACCAAGGATTGATTGAAACAGCTCGGATTCATTTATACAATTATCTAGATTGTATAATTAAAGAGATTGCTCAGTAATTTGAAAATAGAAGAGTATTACAAAATGTATAATTGTCAATATCTTGGTGTTAAATATTTTTAAGGAACATTTATTGATCCTTCAAGACATAGTTTGCAGAGGGAAGATTCCCTTTCACAATTTTGTATCCCTCGACTTGCACTTAGAAATATGCGTAAAATGTTAAATATTCTAAATTTTTGACACCGGCATTGTTCAAGTTAGAACGGTGAATGTTTAAGATTATATTTAGTTGGTAATAGGCCGGAATAATTCAAGGGCTTTCAAAGTCATCCAAATAGTCTAGCTTGACACATTTCCAAATACAGGGCTCAGTCGTTTTTGTTGAAAACCATTTTAGGGTCTCCTTGCCAAGAATATTTAAATTAAGATGAAGCTGCATGTTTTTCCCAATGTTGGTAAAAATGG